TATTAGCCAGGCATGGTGGCGCTCCCTGTAGTCCCAGCTACTCAGGAGGCTGAGGCAGTAGGATCGCTGGAGCCCAGGAATTTGAGGTTGCTGTGAGCTAGGCCGATGCCACGGCATTCACTCTGGCCTGGGCAACAAAGCTAGATTCTGTGTCTTAGAAAAAAAAAAAAAAAGGTACTACAAATCAATAACAACCCAATGAACAACAGCCTGAATAAACAATTCATAGAAAGTTCAGTATAAATTGCCTTTATAAACATGACAAGATACTAACTGCCACTTGTGATAAAATAAATGCAAGTTAAACTGCATTAAGAAACCATTTTTCATCTATCAGACTAACAAACATTAAAAACATTTAATACTCACTGTGGCTGAGGATATCAGCAAACAGTTATAGTAATCCATACATTGTACAAGTATAAATGGGTCCACATCTAAGCAAGGAAACATGACTATATCCATCCATTAATGCACTTTTAGCAATTTATCTCACAAATAAATGACAAAATGATGTATGCACATTGCAGTACTGTAGTAGTTTTTGTTACAAGAGATTGGAAATAACCTAAAAGTCCACTGATATGAATGGGTTGAATCTCATATCCATACAGTGGAATACTATGTAGCATTAAGAAATTAGGAGAAAGTGTCTATGCTCTAAAATGAAACCTTCTGCAAGATATATTATTATCTAAAAGAAAAAACAAAAAAACCCAAGGTGCTAAAGAGTGTATTCTATGATGTCATTTGTACAGAAAAAAGAAGAAAAACTTGTGTATGTGTGTGCATTTATCTGGATACTAAAGATAAATACAAGAAATCAGAAACAAATTTAGGAATGAAACCGTATGGCTGAAGGACAGTGTTTGGAGGGTATCTCTTTCACTTAAAGCACGTTTTCAATTTTGAACCCTATGAAGATATTGCCTATTGAAAAATTTTGTAATTTAAATTAAAATGCCTAGTGGATATCCAATTATCGCTTAAGGAAAAAGAAGTTCCAGACAGACAACATATTTTGGTAACGCTTAAGTAGATTCTTTACTTTAGGAAAATAAAAAATATTGCACCTATTAAATAGCAGATAACATGATAAGCAAAAAGAAATCTAATAAGCCTTTTTTTAACAGTCTCCTCCATAGAAGGATTCAGAGAAGCAACCTTCAGTGGGACCATTACTTGCAGAGAATGAAAGCTCAGATATCCTAAACCCAACTGAAGTATATACAGACCCATAGTGAGAAAAGAGTTTACTGGTAATTGTGTAATGAAAACAAGTAACACAGAGCCATGATTGTCATGTCAGAAGTTTGAATGGAGTTAGGAATACTGTAGTACCTTTGACAACCATGAAAGTCTTCCCTAGGAATGTTTTTGTAAGATCAGTGTTGATTATTGTGCAAAGATCAGGTATGGACATTTACTTTGCTTATGTCCAGTAACCTGGAATGTGCTTCATACTCTTTATAAGTTCTTATTTCCCCCAATATTAGAATAAATTCCTAGCCATTAAAAAGACTTTCATTGATATACTCAACAAATAAATATTGAGGGCCTGCTATATGGCAGACAATGTGCTAGGCCTCAGGACTAAATAATACCAAACAATTAGTTTCTAGAGGCCGGGCATGCTGGCTCACACCTCTAATCCTAGCACTCTGGGAGGCTGAGGTTGACAGATTCCTCTAGGTCGTGAGTTCAAAACCAGCCTGAGTAAGACCCTGTCTCTACTAAAAATACAATAAATTAATTGGCCAACTAATATATATATATAAATTAGCCGGGCATGGTGGCGCATGCCTGTAGTCCCAGCTACTCGGGAGGCTGAGGCAGAAGGATTGCTTGAGCCCAGGAGTTTGAGGTTGCTGTGAGCTATGCTGATGCCACGGCACTCACTCTAGCCTGAGCAACAAAGTGAGACTCTTTCACACACACACAAACACACATAAAAAAAAAAATTAGTTTCTAGAGAAATAGCTTCGCTGAATAATTGTTCAGTATAGTATTTATAAACTTATAGAAAATAACATTTTCCCATTAAAAAAAAAGTGGCCATCATGTGTAAACCAGTTCTACTGGCAGTTTTTGAAGACCTCAAAATCTTTCAATATTCTCTTTCAACTCCAAATAACTCCAGAATTAATTAAGATATTTGATCATCATGAGGCACCAGGACAGGCGGGGCTCGGTGGCTCAAACTTGTAATCCTAGCACTCTGGGAGGCAGAGGCCAGAGAATGGCTCAAAGTCAGGAGTTTGAGATCAGCCTGAGCAAGGGCAAGACCCTGTCTCTACTAAAAATAGAAACAAACTAATTGGCCAACTAATAAATATATAGAGAAAAAATGAGCTGGCATGGTGGCACATGCCTGTAATCCCAGCTACTCAGGAGGCTGAGGAGAAGGATCGATTGAGCCCAGGAGTTTGAGGTTGCCATGAGCTAGTCTGATGCCAAGGCACTCTAGCCCAGCAACAGAGTGAGACTTAAAGAAAAAAAAAAAAAACAGTGGCACACACCTCTAATCCCAGCACTTGGGAGACCCAAAACGGAAGATAACTTAAGACCAAAATCACTTAAGACCAAGAGTTTGAGTTTGAAGTTGCAATGAGCTCTCCAGCTAAGGGGGCAAATTGAGTCCTTGTCTCCAAAAAAAACAGGAATAAAAGGTAAAGAAAGAAAAAGAAAAAAAGAGAGCAGCACAAGACGTTCTTAACCAATTTACCAGTAAGTAAGCATAATCTGTCAAGTGTAACTGGGGTGACTGGTGACTTCACACATTAGCACACCACATTTTCTTCTCAGCCAAGGTCAAATATGTAACAATGATAACAATATAACAATATGGTGGGAGAGGGGGTAGCTGTCAATTTAGAAGGCATTTCCACATGTCTCAGCTCATATAATCCACACTTTTGTTATCCTCATTTTACTGTGAGGAAACTCATTTAGACAGTTAACACTAGGCCGAGCCTGGTGGCTCACCACTGTAATCCTACCAATCTGGGAGCCTGAGGCGGGCAGATTCCTCGAGGTCAGGAGTTCGAAACCAGCCTGAGCAAGAGCGAGACCCCCGTCTCTACTATAAATAGAAATAAATTAATTGGCCAACTAATATATAGAGGAAAAAAATTAGCCGGGCATCGTGGCACATGCATGTAGTCCCAGCTACTTGGGAAGCTGAGGCAGGAGGATTGCTTGAGCCCAGGAGTCTGAGGTTGCTTTGAGCTAGGCTGATGCCATGGCACTCACTCTAGCCTGGGCAACAAAGTGAGACTCTGTCTCAAAAAAAAAAAAGACAATTATACTAGGTGTCTAATTATTAACAATAAATGGCAGAGTTAGAACTGAAACCCAAGTCTCCCGGTGCTAACATTTATATTCTTTCTACATAGATGAAGAAACTTAAAAATATATATACACACATTTTTCTACTAAGTCAGGTGCTTAATATTTAGAAAATAATAGTCTTTAAGTAAATTCTCTACAGGCACACCTGAGATAGCATAATTAAAGTACAAGCTGATCCTTATTTTAAAATTTCCCAAGAGGAGTTCCGACTAATACACATTAAAAGATAATGCCTTTCTTAAGAATTTGTTTGGGGATCTCTAACATAAACAAATAATTGTAGGTGTACCTGGATCGGTGGTTGGATTTGTTTTGCCTTGGTTCTGATTATGAATTTCTTCCTAGTAGAGTAGCCAAGTGTGTAGTGTTTGATATTTTGGCCAGTGAAGTTCTTGCACCCTCGAGCAAATATAGGATTTGCACTTGTATATTAAATATCAGAATAAATAATGAGGTATTTAGCAGAATAGTCTGCTTCTACTGCTTTCCGGTACAGAGAAAGAGTCACAAAGTGTCTGCCAGTGACAGGCCATGCGGAAGTCTCTGTGCCAGCCGCGGCTACTGTTGGTCGAGGAACGTGGTGCATTGGACGAATTTCATATTTGAAAGAATGTATTCTCACTCCAGTGTTTGAAATATTAACTCCTACATTATAGTACCTAGGATGTGCCCACACAGAAACCTTTGGTGACAGGAATTTACAGATCAGAATTGTGGCTTAGGAAGACAGAATGTTAATTTGATCATTCTTGGTGGGAAACTTAAAGCAAAAAAACTTTTCCGAACATGCCTTTTACAAATTAAGTTTTCCCTCTTTATCAGCCATCAATCTTGAAATTATAAACTCAGAAATAAACATGATATTCCCTTTGAGAATACTATGATTTGGTTGTTTTCTTCTTCCACTCAGATTCAAAGTGTTTTTCCACTATGAATCTGACCTTTCCAACTTTTCTTTAGTAACTGACCATGTACATTTCCTAACATTTGACCATTCCACTCTGGTCCAAGACACCATCATCTCTCTCCTAGAGTACTGCAATTGCCTGGTTGTAAGACACAGAATGCTCAAAAAGGAGCAAATTAAGAGGAAGTGTTCGCTGGGCGTGGTGGGCTCACGCTATAATTCCTATCACTCTGGGGAGGCCCTGAGGCGGGCAGATTGCTCAAGGTCGTAGCAGTTGGAAACCAGCTGAGCGGAAGAACGAACCCATCTCTACTAAATAAATAGAAAGAAAGTTAATTGGGCCAACAATATATATTACAAAAAATTAGGCCAGCGCCATGGTGGCACATGCCTGTGAGCTCCCGCTACTTGGGAGGCTGAGGCCAGTAGGATCCTTGAGGCCCAGGAGATTAGGTTGCTGCTGAGGTAGGCCTGAGGGCAGGGCACTCACTCTAGCCTGGGCAAGAAAGGGAGACTCTTGTCTCAAAAAAAAAAAAAAGAGGAAGTGTTCAAGTAAGGACAGGTTTAACCTTGCCATGAATCTTGGGGTAGAGAGATCCCAAAGTGTAGATCTTGGCATTTGGGAGAAAGTTCTGAGAATGAGGATTTAGGAAGCTTTACTACCTGAATTTATTCGACGTTCTTGAGGGGCCTCAGAATCCCTTTGCTCCCTGAAACCCACCCCCTCCACTCCCACTCCCACCCTCTGGCCCTCAGGGCCCAGGCTGGCTGCCTGTTGCCAGCAGTTGGGAACCCTTGCCTCTTCTGGAACCCTCTCCACCATTCCTTACTCCCCTTTTGCTGCATTTTAACCCTTTCGCACGTACCCTTGCTTTGTTTCCGGGATTTATTTTTAAAGCCCTCCCAGATATTGACTGAAAGCACATAGCAGTTATGAAATAAAAAAAACTGGAGTTTCTTTTCATAAAATATTGATTTGATTTTTTATTATTTCATAAAATATTTTGATACAATTCAAAATGATATGTAATTTTAATTCTCCATATATTGTTGCCATCCTTGTGTGTCGAGTCATCACTCTCGTCATAAATAAGGTATGTGCAATAGGATAAGTTTGGAGATCCTATGGATCTCCTTAGACGGGTTCGCGCCTTGCTTGCAGGAGAGCCCTGTTTCACTCAATCCAGACAGCTCTGACAAGTTACCCAGTCTTAGGAGAAGAGTTTCAATTAAAAAGCTGTCTTTTAATCTCTGGTTTCCATGCCACTTGCTGCGCGCCCTCCGTTTAGCTCACCAGGTATTGCCAAGAGAAAGTTTCTCTTCTGGCTGCTTATAAGTTTTATCCAAAGAAAGAAGATACGCACGTGATTTAAGGCTTGCTGATATTAGTGTGGCTTGTCCTTATTTCGGTGTCATTGCCAGTATTTACAGAATAGGTTCCTTACATTTAGGGAAGGCCTTTT